CATGTGGCCAGGCCTGCGGGGTTGGTCCGTGACTCGCACCACGCGGCAGACGAACTGGTAGCTGGGTCGGGGGGTAGTGGTTCCCAGCCTGGGTTAATTCGGGGCTTCACGGGTCCTCCGCGCGGGGGGCGTCGGGGCTGGGCCTGGTGTGGCCCAAAACTGCGGTGAGCATCAGACTGGTTGTCTCGTTTCAGACTCGGAGCCCGCCCTGCCCTCTCCCGTTTAGGTGACATGGGGATGCCAGCAGAAAGCTGCTTGAGGCTCCGCTTGCCTGTGCTTTCCCTTGCCCAGCCTGAGCCTGTTAAATATGCCCAGGCCCCTGCCTCTGAGGTTTCCTTCACGGGCAGATCTTTCACTCAGTTGTCGAGGAGCCTAGCATCACGTAGCCGGTTGTGTTGTAGCCACCTGTTTTTGTCAGCAGCTTTGTCACCCTGTGCCGTGATCCTTGGTCCAGGAGCGGGGTGTCTTTGTGCATCCAAGATGTTAGTGTGAAATTGCATGCAGGAAGTTGCTGACAACAAGGATCAAAAACAAATAAGCTCAAAAAGTAGTTGGACATTTATACAATTATTGCTGGTTTAAAAATGAAAACTCATAGGATTATTCTAATAACAATTTTGGGAGAGGATTTTGCAATGCAGCCTTGCTATTAGCAGTGCACTGATAGAGGTTTTTTGGGCCGATGCCGATTCTTAACGAGGCATATTGGCTGATACTGATCCGATTTCTGATATGCAGCCCGGCAGCTTGAAGAACGTCCGGCTGGTAAGTCGGTTGTGGTAGAAGGGGTGGGGAAGGGAAGGGGTATGGGGGGGGCAGATCCAGCCCCCTGTGGTGAGGGAGGGAATGGGGCTGGGGCAGGGGCAAAGCACTGCACAGCTGGGGTGCGGCATGGCACGGAGTCGTGTGGGGGGGGCGCGGGGGGGGGGGGGTGGCCCCTGCCACTCTGCACACCCTGGGAGGGAATGGGGGCATGTGCCCCCAGATCTGCATGTGGGGCAGGCTGGGCTGCCGCTTTGGGCTGAGGCCTGGGCTGTGTCAAGCTCTTCCTGGCAGAGGCTGGGCTGGGTTGTGCTTGGGGCGGGCAGCAGTGGTGCTGGAAGGGGGAGTTGGGGTGTCTGCAGCTCCCCTATAAGCCCCCACCCAGAACCACCCCCTGCCTGCCTGCCCCAAGCACAGCCTGGCCCAGCCTCCCACCAGGAAGAGCCCAGCACAGCCCCCAGCCTGAGCCTGCAATGGCAGCCCGCCCCCTCCCCACACA